TCAGGGGACCTGAAGAGCTTCATCAGCAAAAGCAGTCTAAGTTCATGCCACAAAAAAACCTCATTAGCAAAATTTTGCACTAATACAACATTTTACATTTTGAAAGCTAATACTAATATGTTCATTATTTGTTCTTGGGGAGTGTTTTAAGGAATTCTTTAAAATCCCCAGAGTTTATTTTTTTTAATCTTTAAAATAAATGTTTTAAACTAAAAGAAGAAATTACCTCTTTTTCCTTGACCATGAAGACAACATTTCCCAGAGTGCAAGGACATCCAAGGTAGATGGAAAGACCTTTGCTTTCTCTGTGTTGTTGTGAATGCATTGATGTGTTCTGTGACTGTAGTCAGTTGGTTCTCAAAGTACTTTTACGGGCCAGTGCCACCTTCAGACGTAACCTACTTGCCGGATACTCATTCCAGTTCTGCATTTTGTTTCATGTTTGTGACAGCCTGACAAATATGTATGCACTATAGAAAATGGTGTTTGCTGGATTTGGTTCAAGTCAAATTGGTGCCACTACTGGGAACAGAAGTTAGAAAGGGCTAGAAATTCAAGTCTGGTGGTTGTGTTTGTGGAGGGAATGCTTTTCAATGCATCTTCAAATCCCCTGACTGCAGCTATTTATGAGCCACACCATGTACTTCCCATACCTGCTGAAATCTTTGTAATCTTATTATCTATTTATTTACCCACTAAAGAGTCCCTGTTGCCATAACACGTAAGGATCTACCAAGGCCTTAGTAACAGAAGCTAAAGGCTCTTCCTCATTCTTTCATTCCATCTTGCAGAAGAAATATTAGAATAACTGGAAATTACTTATAGGATGATAGCACCTGTTTAATTTTCTTATGTACTTGTGTGTGTTTGAAAACAGCAGCCTACTAAAAAGGTGAGTTTTGTATTAATTTGTACCAGATTGCTTCCTGTGATCATTCTTTATAGCCTGCGTGGCTTCTGAGAAAGTCATCACTTAAGAAAACAGGAGACCTCAGCTTTTGTTGACAGAAACTGCTCTTGCAGGATTTCATGTTTAGAGAGCATGAGAAAACCATTGACAGGTAAATATCCCCTTTAGAGGCAGACAGGGTCACATTGCGAGTTTAATTTCATCAATAGTATATGCTAAAGTGACCTTATGTATTTATTAGGGCAATGGGATTGTCTAAGGAAAACCACTGTGTAGCACCGTGAATTTAAATCAAGATATACATGCAGACTGCAAATGACTGGAGATGCAGAAAAAAGAAAGATGGATGTAGGGAGAATATTGGACAGTGATCCATGAAGTGCAATTCTTCACAGTTAAATATATTCTATGACTTACTAATTTTCCCTTAGAAGAAATGGGAATGAATGCTATTTTCCATTTAGGAGTAATTGTACAGTAATTCTTCATGGTTTTGCTTCTTGTACAGGGGACAAACTAAGCAAAATTATCTTGAAGACATATTCAAAATTGCTGTTCAAAATGCTTCAACATGCAAATTTCTTATAGTTTCACTTTGTTTTCTTTAAGCTAAATGATATGCATATATAAGAATATTTCGGGTAATCACACAGCTTATGCTAAGTAACTATTTCAAGTTGTCCTCGATACCAGTGTGTTTCTACATATTTATCTTGAAGTGTTAATGACATTTATTTTGGTAATTTTTGCTCCACAAACATGCTCTTTCAACACTTTTAAGAACTGATAAAATTTTATTCAAGCAAATCTCTTAATTTACCTCAATGGAGAAATTGACTTGAAAAGCAGCACAAATCCTTGCTTATATAGAAAGTTTTTCTTGAAGTTAATGAGCTTATTTGCCTGAGTAAGGATATGGATATAGGGACTGCTCAAGTGAGCAGAAGTTTCAAAACTGGATGCAAAGTCATTAGCTTACTTCAGACTAGCCTCTTGTAATAGTTTCTGAACACTGAGTGCCTGAGAACTGGCTCTCAGAATAATATTTTGTAAAATGTGAAAATGCGTATGCAAAAGAGTAAGAAAAATGGAAAATTTAAGCACAAATGTTTAATTAAAAAACATTGTGGTTAGTGGTAATGATTATTCAAAGTAAATTTTATGTCCCTACGGCATTGTACCCCATGTCCATTGCTGTCTTTTTCCACTGGAAGTAAGACACTCTACAGACAAAAAGAGCTTTCTTTTGCTCCCCAGAAACTTCTTAACACACAGACAATACATCAGTCTTTCTTGCAGCATCATATGAATTATTATTAGACGTACATTAATAGAATATTCTGTATTTGTAATATTAGCATGAGTTATGATTTATTTACAACCTTGCATCTCAGCTTCTTTTTTTTTTTGTTCCCGACATATCTTCTTTCTCCTGAACTGTCTTACACTTTCAGCATCAGGATTCTCTATAGTGTTTAATGTTTTAGTAAGGTGGCAGTCTCTCCTTTCACTCTTTAGGGTACTGTTTCATCCTCATGCGTTGAGAGATTGCTTTTACCTCTGTATCTCATAAAAGGTCTCCACCAAGTGTGGGAGCAACCAAATGGAGATATGTGTGTGTGTGTGTGTGTGTGTGTGTCCCTCCTTCCTCCATTGCTTCAGACAGGAGCTGAGGTAGTTACAGCCCACAAAAAACTACACCAGATGAAACTTAACTGGCATTGCATAAAGAGGACACACAATGGGCTGGGACTGGATAAAACATTTATTTTCAGTTGTTATTGATGACCTCTCAGAAGTTGCTCGTGGTTCTACTTTGGCCTGTCACTTGTGAGGTAAAGGATCATCAATAACTTATGGAAATAAATGTCTTACTGAGAGTCTGGCTACTGCAAGTCCAGTATATTGTCTCATATACAGACATGCAGGCACAGAAAATACAAATCACAGAGAAACCAATTTTAATATTAGCTTCTGTCCTTCTATCTTTAGAAAAATGTGGCCTTTTAGATTTTGTTTTGTTTCCATCTCTCTTTCTGTCTTCTTTTCTTTCCTTTTCTTTTTCTTTTCTTTTCTTTTCTTTTCTTTTCTTTTCTTTTCTTTTCTTTTCTTTTCTTTTCTTTTCTTTTCTTTTCTTTTCTTTTCTTTTCTTTTCTTTTCTTTTCTTTTCTTTTCTTTTCTTTTCTTTTCTTTTCTTTTCTTTTCTTTTTCCTCTTCCTTTTCTTTTTTTTTTTTTCTTCTTATCTTCTATTTCTTTCTGGTATTTCATAAAGGTATGTCCCTAATTTATTTATAAGGGTAAGTCTTCAGAACAAGGTAGCATTACTGAGCTGGCTTACCAGTTCCTCTGTACACATAAATACATTCATAATTGATAGAATGATCTATAGTGTTGTGGCTAAAATAAACTTAAGGTCAAATCTCTGGGAGAGCAAATCTTGCCATTGTTCCTGATGAGAAATAAATACGTGCAGGAACTAAAAACTGTGGTTTTGAAAGGGAATAAAACCGAATGCATAAGGGCATTTTGAACAATTCATTCCAAAGTGAAAGTGCTTTTTCTTAGTTTTTCTTCATTGCCTTGATCTTCCTAAAACTGTTGTTGGGGCAGGTTAATGACTGACCTCTGAGGGAACCACATACCAGTCTTTGTTCCCTAGCAGTCAGGATCTTGCAGAGGCTTGAAACCTTTGAGGGAGAGAATAGGATTAAACTGCTGCATGAAGTCCAGCGCAGGTGATGATCAATGGGAGCACAGGAGTGAGTTTCTCAGGACACTCTCTCCCTTCCCCCACCAGCTGGAATTTATTTCCTTTACTGCAAAGTTACCTGATGGAGACGGCTGACTGTCAGTGATTGTTGTCAGATTAATTTCCCTTAAGCAGTCATTAAAAGCATTCAGTGTTAAAATCCCAATTAGATTTTAAAGGTTACTGGTCATTCAAGATTGAAACATTGTATCAAGTGGTTAAAATCAGAAAGAATTAACTTTGACTTAACAGGGAGGCTCACAGTAAAGTCATATTTACATAAACTCAGCTTACTTGCCACTCTCCAATTTTCAAGGTGTCCAGCAAACTAAAGACGAATGTTTGATCGTGCAACGTGTGTGCACTGAGTAACCTCTGATAAACTGGTGTTTGCACGGTGAGTCCTTCGTACCTGCCTGTCCCAATGCCCAGCTGTACACCCATAAACGAAGCCACTGGTCCTAATATGCTACACTGACGGCAAGGTCCCTTTGCACGCAGACTTTTGCAGGGGATTAGCTTTCACTTTCTTGCAGTCTGAATCCGCGCTGCTTCAATCGGTGTAAAAATCCATTGCCACTGTAAGGACTGAGCTGCTGATGCGGAACATGGGTCCCCTCCTCATCCTCCCTGCTCGCCACATTCCCGGTCCCTTTGCGGAGACGCTGCCGCTCCCCCTGTATCCCCTGTCCTGCCGCCACTGTTGCTCCTTCGGGTGGCTGAGCCTTTGCTACGACAAGGTTCAGATAAAGGGTCTGCAAGCTGACAGGTGACATTTCAGCAACGTTTTCTGCTGCCTTTCGAGGCTTCTGTATGGCTGCAAGCAGTTGTTATTATTCCTAAAGGTTTGGAGTCAACCTCCTTTTGTTCTCTTAGAACTTATGCACAAACCAGTTTATTAACAAGAGAATTAAAATGAGCAGAATTTCAATGAGAAGCATTGCAAGTGTCCCACCTGCCGGGCCTCAAACAGCTCCTCAGCAAAAGCCAAGTGAAGCACAACACAAAGCTGTAACTTGAGTTGCTCCAAGATTGCACTGATAGGGGTACCTGATGTCACATCTCCTCCACAGCCTGGAAGAGCTCCTATGCATGCGGGCTCTGAGGCCCACAGCTAGAGGTGCTGTGTGATGGAGATGAGGTAAAATATGGAGGAGCTGTAGTTTCAGACTGATGGTCGAGGGGCCATTTAATTCCCTGGAAAAAAAAAAAAAACAACAAAAAAAAAACCAAACCTGCACTCTCCAACAGTTTAATGTCTACAAGGAGAGAAATTTATGTTTAAACCCAACCTGCGTCTCCTGCTGAGTCATAAAAAGAGCTACGCTGACTTTTGCCAAGGAGTCTTTGTCCCGAACTCTCCAAAACTAATGTAAAGAGTGGATCTAGGTAAACAACTTGCATTAAGTAGCAATCATATTCTCCCGCTGTGGGCCTAAGACACGCCACTAAGAATGTATCATCTCTTGAAGAACTGCAGTAAGAAAGTAATGAAGAATTTCACATGTGAAACAAACTTCCAGTGCGAATTTGAGGGGATATTTTATTGAAATGCGCCAAATTATCAATATAATTGGGTATTCTGCAGTGTGGGAATCTTGCTGCTGAAAGCAGTGGGAAACTTCGAGGCTGAATGCGGTAAGTTTGTGAGCGTTGGCAGGGATTGTAAACCTTGCTGGAGCGCAGTGAAAAGCCCCTCATTCCTGCAGGAAAGAACTTTTCTAAAGTGCTTGCAAATGCATTGAGGATGGAAACAGAGACATCTCCATTCAAACAATGGGAAGCTGGCAAGGACCGAGCGCAACACCCGGCCCCCATGGCCAGCGGGGGCCGAGCGGGAGCCGGCCGTGCGAACGCCGCCTTCCCACCGCCGGCCCGGGACAGCGCTCGGGGAAGCGGCGGCAACACCGGCGCGGACGCGGACAGCGCTCCCGCCCCACGCGGGAAGCGGGGTAGGGCGCTACCGGGAGCGGGGGGGGGGCGATTCCCGGCGCTCCCGCCGCCTCCCGCTCCCACCCCCCGGCTCCCTCCGCCCCTCCCGGCCGCTGCCTCGGCCCGGGCGGCCCAGACTGGCCGGCGCCGGGCCCGTGACATCACCCATTCACACTGCGGCCCGGCTGGCGCCGCCGGGGCGGTCGCCGCGGCAACGCGGACGCGGATCCGCGGGCAATGACTTCCAGCTGCCCGCCCGCGGGAGCGCGCCCGGCGCGCCCCCGGCCCGCCGCGCCTCCCCGCGCTTCCCTCCCCTTCTCGGGCAGCCCTTTACCCCCTCACCCCCCGCAGGTGTTTTACCTGCGCCCTACGCCATGGGGAAGGCTGCGGGACCAGAGGCGCCCGCGGGCGTGGGGGTCTCCCGAAGGTTGTGTGGTCTAAAAAATTCCACATTCACCATATACATATATATTTTTATATATTTATAATATATATATATATATATATATTATTACTGATTTTGCTGATTTCTACCGTATTCTCCTTAGGTGCCTTCTTCCTCCCCCCCCCCCCCCCCCCCCCCCCCCACAACTGAAGAAAATAGATTCCTATAACCCATCAACCCATCTCCCATGCGGACTTCTGGTCTGACTTTTCGTTCGGACGCTTCTCTCCGCAAGCCTGTAATTGTGTGATCCCCTTTTTGAGGCGGTGGGAGGATTACATGAAAACAGCATACCGGGCTGCCGTGTGCTGGGTACTTCTGGAAACTGTTTTCTCTTTAGCTGCCCGAGCGTGAAGCATTTTTTACCCCAGTGTTGTGGTCCAGTACATGAAAATCTTGATGCAGAATGTTTTGAAAGCTTAAAGGCTGTAGTCTTAACTCATCTGAAAAACTTAAAATGCTCGATTTCTCTGTGAAAGAGCTAGGGCTGATGTCAAACTTTGCAAATACCCTGTTTTATTGACCTAATAGATATGCTTCTATGCTTTGGGTTTGCTAAGAAAACTTTTGAAGTCTGAGTTCACTAAAACTTGCAGCAGAAGCATCAGGAGTCAAATAAAACAAACCTACAGGGGAATGTTAGAACATTTTTGACTTTTGAAGCCGATAATGTGATTTTATGTATCTATATTTTTTTTTTTTAATGTGATTCAGGAACTTCTTATGCTACAGTTTGATACTGCTGCGGATTTGGCCCGTGTGACTTTCCAAAGTCCCAAAGGGGCCCTGAGTTAAATGAAGGATTGGAAGTGAGAGAGCTTCCCAGGTTTTCTGTACAGCCCTCTGGCAGGTAGTTCACACTACTTCCTTTGAGAATGAATAGTTACTACCTATTGCTTGGAGTTTGTTGATTCACAGTTCCTACAGGAAACCATCTGTAAATATTAGGCTGTGTAATTTGTAGTGATATTAAACAAAGTGATGAGAATCCTACTTAAGAAAAAAATTGATAGCTTTCCATATGGTTCCAAAAAGCTTAACACCGATACTAGTTAGCATAGTGTAGGAACAGCAGAGTTCTGACTCAATTAATCTGTAAAAACGAAGTCTTAGTGAAACATTAATTTTCCAAAATTACAGAATGTTTTAATGTGATTGTAATTGCCCCTCTGTGCTTTTAATTTTTTGCCATTGTTACAATGAATTATAACTCCTTGTAACCAAAATCTTTAGATGCGAAAAAGCCAGGCTAGTATGCTGGCATCCTATTATAAAGATGGTCTCTGTATAATGCAATCATAGCATATCCATTCTGATTTATGCGGATAACTTACACTGATTTGGGGGTTTCTTTTGCATCAGTATTGTGATCCTGTTGTGTCTCAGGTTCAGCCCTTTACATCTTTGCATCTTACCTTTCTATAATGTGTTTTCCTGGAGAGCTGCACTTATATTGAGGACAGATGGAAGTGCTGGGTGTTGTACAAAGGAGGCACGGCAAACTCGCTTAAGGGGTGTTGGGGAGAGAAGCCCTGTGGAAACTCTGATGTGAGCTAAGGACTGTGTTGCAATGGTGTCTGATCAGCAGTTCCTCAGGACCCAGAGTGGCTCTGGACGTCTAGTACTGTGTATGTGCCTGGACAGACTCCAGCAACATTCCTACCCTATGGAACCAGCGCATTAAGCCTTGCTCAACACCCTGTTTGGGTGTGTCTGTGCTGCGCTCCAGTTATCAGGAGTGCAGAGGAGCCCAGTGCAGCAGGTGTCCAGGCAGAGGCCTGATGCTGCATGGTACTGAGCTGGAGGTACTGATTCAGCCTGAGCACAGCACCTGCGTGCTCTGCTCCACAGTGCACAGAGAGGAGCTCAGGAGCAGTCCTGCATCCGGGCTCAATTTGTACCATGCTCCACCAAAGCCCAGACTGAGTTCAGTCTGAGGTTAATAGCCCTAACTCCATCCCAAAGCCTCTCAAATCCATCTGGACTTTGCTACCTGACTCTCCTGGGAGCACAGTATAGGGATAATTGGGCAAGATCTACAAGATGCATTCATATTCTGTGCTACATGAAAGTACTTGTATGGATGTGAATCTTTCAGTGGACTGGGCTGCAGCCTTAGCTAATGAACTCAATCAGACCTAAATTGGCTCTGCACAGAGCTCATCGTGTTGCCTCTGTTGCTTCACCATTCCTGATATACAACTCATCACGTGTAGGGTATATGCAGATTAGCTCTATCTGGTGTTGTAGGTGTAGATGCATAAGGTAAAATATGATTGGACAGAAAATATCACTAAAGAATTAAGTGGAAAATTTGTAGAGAGAGTCTGAGTAGCATAAGGGGATTGTGTTAAAGACTAGGTCCATACCCTGGCAATTTACCATTAAATTTTCTTATGGGAAAAGGAACAGGTCCATAGGAACATGGGATTTGCCACAGGAAAAAGTGACTGTAGTACTAAACTTCAACTGTACTTTTATGTTCCTTTTTTCAGTGTTTGTAATAGTTAGATATTTGTGTTCTCTTCCATTGCATGCTACAGTTGTAATCTAGCAAAGTGCTTAAATTGTGTTCTTTAGAGCTTTACTGGATCAGGGCCATTTTCAGTACTTCCAAAAAGTAAAGGCTAAAGCATTCTCTGAAATCTTTGGCTAGAGATTGTCTAATATTATTCCTTACCCGTAAGGATCTTATCTTCACTCTCCCATAGGAACTGAAATAGCAAATGTCATGTATGCAGCCTTGGCAGACACTTTTGAACTTGGAGGACTTCTTTTGGTGAAGTAGTGTGGGCCAACATGCCTGAAACATGTTCAAAGCTTTTTATCATTCCTCATCCATTTGAAATACAAACAGACAATTCCCAGTTTCCAAAACAGGGCTAGACATATGTTGTGATGGTGGCAGTGACTCGATAAGGAAATATGGGAAGCATAGTCTTCAGCTGACTGTATAGAATGTGCTTTATCCAAGAAAGAAAGAATCCCTTAGTGTAAAAATAAAAGAAATCATTATATTGAAAATTTTTCATGTGCTAGGAACTGTTTATTGACTTTTTATTGATTCATAAACAGTCTTTGACACACTTTCCTTGTCAGTACTGCAAAATGCTTACCATGGTATATCAGTGACAGATATCTAAGTAAGAAATTTCTCTTAATCTTTGGAGTTTTTTTGTATTAGTAGGGCCTCATGACTCTTGCTTCTGATAACTGGAATATATTCAAACATCCTGTCTTATTCTGAACCATTTTTTCTCTCCATTTTTGCTTAGAAGCTGAAGGGAGCTAGGGTGCCAGTAAGTCCAAAGTTAATATTGGTTTTTGTGAGGTTACATTATCATGATCCCTTTATGCCCATTCAAGAAGGTAGAGGGCTAAAGGATGTATTTTCAGGCAGCCTGTGCTATGAACTACAGCACAGAGGATGAAGCTTCAGTGGAGTGTTCACAGAGAGAGCGCAACTCCACAGAGGAAGATGAGTTGAGGACTCAGCTGTGCTTCCCATGGCAGGCCGACTGACAAATTCCAAGACCCCTGTATGAGCCTGTTTGGAGACCCAGGTCATCTATAGAGTGTGGGATCTGTCTTTCTCATGGAAGACACAATAGTGTCAGTGCAGAGTCTCTTACTGTGGTTTATTTAAAGTATATTTGCTTCAGATTTTTTCAGGATGCAAAAGTTTGTCAGATGTGCTGTTAGAGATTTGGGACAATTGTGCATGGTGCAACAAGCGTAGAACTGTCAGGTTTGACCTCACATGGTCTTTGTGAAGTTTTGTGAAGTAGTCTTAGAGAAAAGATATTGCTGGAGAGAATCTGTGGAATAGGAACAATTTTAGATTTCTCTTTGTTTTTGAAAGAGATTTGTTCCAGGCTTTAAATTGGGATAAGAAATGAAAACCAGCACATTTCCGTTACGTGTCATTGCATCCCTAGAATCACCCAATAAGTGGGCCTGGCCATGAGAGGGCTCATATTAACTTTATGAACTGAGTTAACTGAATTAAAAAATGTTTTTTGTGTGGTGTGGGCATGTATGGATACATAAAGTATTCAACCCCCTCAAAATTGAATACTATAATTACATATTTATTTTATTAATTATTAGTATTATTAATTACAGTGTGACTAAGATTGATTTGTGGAAAAAAATTCCAATTACTCCAAAAAATCAACTACACTACTCTGGAATGAGTAGCGATAGGAAACTAAGATTTCAACTCTGACCTTGTAATTCCAGCCTGTTTATTGAACAACATTTTAATATTCCTTCTTAATAAGGTGGCCTATCCACCTAACTAAAGCTGGTATGTTAGTTTCATCAGGTTGAAATGATACATCATGGCTATAGAGTTCCCTTTTTGTGTCCTTCCTACTGTACGTCCTATGGGGTTCACAGCGGCCTCTGTTCCCCCACTTCTTGAACAACCCTGAAAATGTAGTCAAATCTAGTAGTAGTCCATATAAATTTCCATTGCAAATTATGGAAAATGGCTAATGATATTCATAGGGGTCCTCAGAGGAAGAGCCAAGTTTCTTCTCCTGCATCTATGTATGTTTCAGCACTCCTAACATTCATCCTATCCAGTTGGCACACCACTGGATAGCTGTCTGGTCACTTCACCTGTGGAGTACAACCAGCTGGAGGTGACCCTAGCAACAGAATTCCATCCAGGGTATTCACAATGGAAGCATGGAAGCATTAGCAGCTGAAGTTTCCCTCTGGTGTTATATTCCTGTCCAGATCTGTCAACAACTGAAACTCTGTTGTCTGGAAGTTCCTACCTTGGTGGCCAGGATGGGGGCTAATGGCAATATGAAGGTACTGGCCAAAGCTGGGGAGAGAGGAGACTGGCTGCAGTATTGTGACCGAACAGTCTCACAGGAAGGGTGACACTATTGTGTTGTATATATTCTGAGTTAGAAACTCAGCCCTGCAAGATCAGCTTCCACTTCCTCTGCTCTGTCATGGCACACAGCACCCTTGAATGCCATGCTGCAGCACAGATGTATGAGGTGCAGCACTTGGGTCACAACAGCCCCAGGCAGTGCTGCAGGCTGGGGGAAGAGGGGCTGGAAATGAGCCAACAGTGTCCAGGTGGCCAAAAGGCCAATGGCATCCTCAATCACACAATCAGCAATGGTGCGGCCAGCAGGACCAGGGCAGTGATTGTCCCTCTGTACTTGGCACTGGTGAGGCCACACCTCAAGTGCTGTGTTCACTTCTGGGCCCCTCCCCACAAGAAAGACATTGAGGGGCTGGAGCATGTCCAGAGAAGGGGAACGGAGCTGGGAAAAGGTCTGGAGCACGGGCCTGATGAGGAGTGGCTGAGGGATCTGGGGCTGTTTAGCCTGGAGAAATGGAGGCTCAGGGGGGATCTTACCACTTTCTACAACTGCCTGAAAGGAGCCTGTAGTGAGCTGGGGGTCAGTCTAATCTCCCAAGCAGCAAGAGACAGGATGAGAAGTGGCCTCAAGTTGCATCAGTGGAGATTTAGACTGGATAATAGGAAAAAATTATTTGTGGAAAGGGTGGTCAGGCATTGAAACAAGCTGTCCATGGAATGGACATTACCATCCCTTGAAACATTAAAAAAAAAAAAAAAAGTGGTTGTGGCACTCTAGGGACATGGTTTAGTGGTGAATATGGCAGTATTGGGTTAGCAGTTGAACTCAATTATCATATAGGTATTTTCCAACCTAAACAGTTCTATGATTCTAAGTCAATAAACCCCATCACTGCTGTGCAGGAAGCAGGGACAGGCAAAATTAAGGTAAGTTGAATCCCCCTGACACCTGCTGGACTACCCAACAGTACCTATGGGCACTCTGGACTCTAGACTCTGGACACTGATCTGCATGATATATTGCCAGAATTTCTCTTAGCATTTCTTTTAGGTGAAATCCTGAGAGAAAAAAAATATTGAGTGGTTGGTGAAGCCAGCAGATAGGGAGGAACTCTGCATAACATGGGGGCAGAGGCTGACTTGGTTATCCTAAAGGTCATCCTGCTGGACTACAAGGAAGTGCAGTGTCAGCAGAAGAGCCCAGCTAATAACTAGGGTCCTGTCTTAACAGAGCCGTAGCTACTCCTGTGACAGAGGTAATTGGCTCCACACTGAAATACTGAGGCTATTAACAGTTTTCCTATTTGAGAGAGGAGGAAGAGTAGATAATTTTTTTCACAGTACAGTTTACTTTATTTAGTAGGGGTTTTGTTTGTTTTCTGTTCTTCCTTCAGGGAATAATGGAGACTTTTCTTTCAACCCTCAGGGATCTAATAACATATATACAGACTTTGTTTTTCTCTGGCCAACCCATGCTGGACGATTTTTTTCCTAGGGATCAGCATTTCCAGTGCAGATTTAAAATGCTGAAGTTAAAAGTGTGTGGCTGGTTATCTTAATATATGACAAATGCTGTGCGTATTTTCTCTAATGGACCTTTCTCCTTCCCTTCCTTCCTGCCTCCCCATTTCTCTTTTCCTCTAGAGGACACTTCAGAACGGTGGTTATGGCAGATGTTTTGAGGTTAATAACTTTTGAGAAAGTGGGTCTACCCATAGTTCTTAATTTTGAATAGACTTGTCCTTAAATGTGACTTTGCACACAGATCACATGTAAAATCAGAACCTTCATGTAGAACTTGTTCCAGATTTTCATGAAGATTTTAACTGTCTGAAGTTAAATTTTGTTTTTCTAGCTATTAAAGTAAAAACTGCTTTTAGCATTTCAAAGAACTTAGTTAGCTTCCTTTCAGATGTGACTACTGTGATTCCAGTTTGAGTGACAGATAAACGCAGATGATACAGACAGTAATCTGATCAGAGCAATAAACTCTCAAAAGAAGACAAGACAAAGCTTGGTGTGTTAGAAGAGGCATCTCAACCTTTAATCTAGCTTTTGTTTAGGTTTCTTCAATATAATTTGTTCTTAAGACTGGAGCAAGAACAAGAGAATTATTATTTTTTCTTGGAGTTGTAATTAATTTTGATTGATTAAAGACTTTTTGTTGGCCAGGCTAGCCTCTTCAAATACCTTATTTGAAAAAGACAAGATCCTTCCTTGCTGCTGTGACTTTGTATTTTCTAGAAACTTGACAGAATTTTTATTTCAGTAGATGGCAGAGTTCTGGTTGAGGTCATTAAGATAAGGGAAGCTTAAAAATCTACTTTTGTCTAGAAACTCTTGCTCTTACAGTCCAGCCTTCTTAGAAACCAATTCATTGCAGTCTGAAACTGCAAAGAAGAAAGAAATTGGAATTTGTGTTTGTCTGCATATACATAAATATACTTCTAAAGGACACAACTTTATGCTATTTTTCTCTTAATTTTCCCCAAAACTTTTTACTTGTTTGGTTATGCAGCGTTGTCTCTGTTCCAAAAAACAGATTACACAGTGGTCATCCATGTATTTAGATAAGTAAACCTGTTCTAATTAATATTTTGAGTATAAATTCCTACTCATATAATTATGATTTATTAGATATTAATCTATAGTTATGCATTAGCAATCTTTAATGACTCATTTTCTTTCTAAAGCTTGTGGGGGAAAATAGCTGCACTTAAATACTTACAGAGAGTAATTCAGAAATTAGACTTACTCATAAAATTATATTAATTGTCCATGAGCTCTTGGCACAGATTTAATGTAAAACTGAGAACCTGTAAGTTGGGGTCAATTAGGGGTGATTGTGAAAATAGCTTATTTAGTTGTTTTGGCCAAGTCAGCTAACTTAGTTGTGTCCTATGGTCATTATTCAATTCAGCACCCTAAAATCTATCCTAATAGCAAAGCATCCATTGTCTTCAACCGTGGAAACACTGATGAAAATACCAGGAGTAAAGCACACATTTAGTATTCTGCATCTTTTTGGTCTTCAGAACCTAAACATAAGTGGAGTGTATTTATGTGAGTTGCATAGATGTGCTTACATGTGTATATATAATACAGTAAAAGTGCAGTCACATTCTGAATGTGTTTACCCTGTATCTTTGTAACTTTTAAACATCAGCTACCTTTAGTCCATTGGTTCAACAAGACCAGGTCTCTTGACAGCAATTCTTAATAACTTCAAGCAGAATTTGGACATCTGTCATTTGATCAAGTATAAAGAATGAAATCTTTAAATCTGGTTGGTTGATTGGTTGGTTGAGACTTTTTTGGGTGGGGTTTGGAGTGGAGGGGTAGGTAGTATATGAAGAGGTGTGTCCACCAAAAATTTTTCCACTGCCCTTAGATATCCCAGATTTTTACTGGAGTGACCATTCAAGAAGTATTCATTTGGATATCATGAAGTAAAGCATATCCCCCTCTCCTACCTCCAGTTTTCAGACATCCACACCATATGTCTACCTCTTCCTCTTTTTCTGTCTTCCTTTCCCACACCTTCTTTTTGTATAAGTTTGATCCCTAAATGATCCTGGCCCAAGGTCTGTGATGGACAGCCTAGCAATTTGCAGATTTAATGTCATTTGCTTTGATCTCTAAGAAGTCAACAGGAGGGCTATGCAATCCTATAAATATCAAGAGCAGATATTGTAAATTAGTCCAAATCCAGTCAGTTGCTGAACTGAAAATCACTGTGACATAAACATGATATTAGGTGAGACATACTACTTAATGTCAGGTTTTGCAGTATTTTTGCATGTGTTGAGTTTAATTTCTTTTTTTTTTTTTTTTTTTTTTTTTTTTTTTTTTTTTTTTTGAGAACTGGAAACATAAGTTAGTAGGAAACCCAGATTTAGCTTCAGAAATTGTGAGATATGTGAAGCACTCCTGACTGGAAGTAGAGAAAGTCTGGAAGTTTTAGAACTGTTTTGCCATTGAATGATTATGTTACAATAGCAGTGCATGATGACACCATGTTCTTCAGGCATGTGCTTTTTAGTTCTTTGAATAAAATACCCATTTTTCACTTACTAACCTTCCTCCCTAACCACTCTAGACCACAGCATTACAGACTGAATTTCACACATATATGTGAGGACGCTTGAGTTCTAATTGTACATATGTACTCCCATGTGAAAAAGTGGGGAGTGCTATCAGGAATACAGGCATGATTTAGTGTCATTGTATATGAATGAGCAAACTGTAAGTACTGTACGGATGACCTTTAAGCAAAATGAGAATTCCTTAGGGCTACCAGCCATGATTTTCAGAAAAAGCATCATAGTGTTGCTGTTAAGATTATTAGCTTCTTTAGAGATTTGTCAGCATGGATAAACCAAAAAACCTCAAGTCATTTGGCATACTAGCAAATTCCAGTGACTGTACTTAGCAGAAACTAAAGGAGATAACCCCAAATCTTATGATACCCTTGCATGCCTCTGCATTATGTTCTGTGAGGATAGAGTGTTTTTCTTTAAATCTTTGCATGTAAGACTGTAAATTCAGAAGAAGGATTTCTATACTAAACACCAGATTTAAATACTTAAAGCTGCACAAAATGGTGTCAGTAATGCATGGATCAACCTACTGACAGGCTGCAGAACTCTTGCTTGCTCTAACTGGTGCAGGTCTTAATTGTCTCAGTGTGCTAATCACTAATAGCAATATGGAAAATGCCTGACAGCCTGGAATCAGCAGTGATTTTTCATTGAGAGAATCATCTTGGCATTTTGAGGTGGTTATAAATCTACTATGTGTATATGTATATATGATGCTATTGCTTCTGCTTTTTATACAGATAAAATTAATTTTGTACAGATGTATTACTGATTTTAGGCTCCAGGTTGTTTTCTGTCACTCAGTTCAGGGAATTATTGCTTATATATATGCAGCTGTGGAAGAGAAGCAGTCAGATTCTCAACAGTTATGAGGA